TTTAATAATTAACAGAAGTCTACTCATTGGTTTTGATGAAAAATTACTCCCTATGCATTCTTTGGTGTACTATTAGGTAAGAGAGGCCAAAATCTTTAAGACAAGATCTAAAGGAAATGCAATACAGGAGAATAACTCTAAAATGTACATTGCTTTTTAATTTCAAAATCTATTTAGTTTTGATATCTTAAAATAAATGGGGTATGGGAGGCCAGTAAGATGGTGGAGTAGGTAAACTCTGTGATCGTCTCCTCCCATGACCACTTCAAAATTACAAGTGAGCCCTAACTGGTTTGGCTCAGTGGATAGAGCATCAGCCTGTGGACTGAAGGGACCCAGGTTCAATTCCAGTCAAGGGCATGTACCTTGTTGCAGGCACATCCCCAATAGGGGGTGTGCAGGAGGCAGCTGATCCATGTTTCTCTCTCGTTGATGTTTCTAACTCTCTATCCCTCTCCCTTCCTCTCTGTAAAAAAAAAAAAAAAAAATCAATAAAATATACATTTTTAAATATTACAAGCGAAATAAACCAGTCAGAGAAAGATAAGTATCAGGAGAATAACTTTAAAATTTACATTGCTTTTTAATTTCAAAATCTATTTAGTTTTGATATCTTAAAATAAATGGGGTCTGGGAGGCCAGTCAAGATGGCGGAGTAGGTAAACTCTGTGATTACCTCCTCCCACGACCACTTCAAAATTATAAGCGAAATAAACCAGTCAGAGAAAGATAAGTATTCAAACTCAGAAGGAAGGCAGGGGAGGGTAGAAGTGGTGGGTAAGAGATCAACCAAAGGACTTGTATCCATGCGTATGAGTATGACCAACGGACCCAGACAATAGGGGGTGAGGCCCTGTGCTGGGAGGCGAGAGCAGGCTGGGAGAGGTCAATGTGGGGAAAAGGAAACATATGTGAACAGACATTCAAACCTCAGAGGAAACGCAGGGGAGGGTAGAAGTGGTGGGTAAGAAATCAACCAAAGGATTTGTATCCATGCATATGAGCATGACCAATGGACACAGACAATAGGGAGGTGGGGGCATATGCAGGGGGAGAGAGATGGTGGGTGGGGAGGAGACATATGTAATACTTTCAACAATAAAGAATTTTTTTTTAATTACAACTAAATTATAGAACCATCAACCTGGAGAACCAGCTGAGGACTAGCTGAACAGAAGTCCTGTAAGGATATAAAGAAGAAGCCATGTGAGACTGGTGGGAGATGTGAAGACACAAAATGGCTGGCCCACACCCATGACTGACAGTTGAAAATTGGGAGACATAGCTCAGCTGCAGAGGAGCAAGGGGCCCCAGCTGCAACACAGGCCCCCAGCCTGGAACACTAGTGCTGGGAAGAGGCGTCCCCACAACATCTGGCTGTGATTATCAGTGGGAACTGCATTTCTCTGGGTGAGACAAAAGGATCTAGAAACCCAGGCATCCTCTTACAGGGCCCGTGCACAGATTCACTTGCTCTTGGCACTCTCCCGGGGACTTGTGGAGGGACAGCAGCTTGGGAGGTGCCAGAGACATTAGGGAGAAACTGAGTTGTGTGGCTTCAGGGCTGGAGGGACAGCTGCCATTGTCCCCGTGTTGAGCCCTTCCCCCACAGGCCCAACTATGGCTCTGCATGAGGTTGTTAAACTCCACTCACTCCACCCTGTTGCCTCCCTAAGACTTCACCCCACCCAACTCATGCACTACCATAGGCCATTATTATATGTTCTGAGGGCATTATTAAATAAAATAAGGGTCACTTGATGAACAAGCACTATAATATCACAAGAGTTGATCTGATAACCAGGATGGCTACTAAAGGGCAGGCAACACATAAAGTATAGATATTCTGGACAAAGGGATGATTCACATCCTCGGAAGGATAGAGCAGAATTGCATTAGATTTCATTACAATACTCAGAACAGCATGCAATAGACAACAAGCATATGAAAATTCCAAATAGCATATAATTCCATATATGATTACAGATTGTTTTTGTGATTAATCACTATGCTTTAATTATGTTGAATTTATAACAATGAAATTGGGGGTCACCACAACATGAGGGACTGTATTAAGGGGTCGCGGCATTAGGAAGGTTGAGAACCACTGTTTTAGATGCTAAAAATGTTCTAAAATTGATTGCAATGATGGTTGCACGCATCTTTAAAAAGACTAAAAATTGTTGAATTGTATACTTTAATGGGTATGTAAATTATATCTCCATAAAGCTGTTAAAAAAAAATAGTTGATTCTCAGTGAACACTTTTCAAAATCAAGAAAGTAAAACATTTCCCTGGCCGGTGTGGCTTGGTTAATTGGCTGTTGTCCGAAAGGTTGCCAGTTCTTCATTCAATTCATAAATAAAACATTTTACACACTGGATTTTGGAAAAATACCTTATTTATAGTCTCTTGGTCAGATAGAAGTGGCAGTATATTACTAGTATTGTTACTTATAAATTATATTTGATTTCCACAGGTAAAATAGAATTAGCATTAAATAGAAGCTTACATTCATTGAGGAGTTCATCTGAGCAGTAGTTTTGTCATCTGTTGGGAACTGGTATATCTGGATGCCATTACTAATCAATTCATTCATTATCTTACTCTTAAATGTCTGTAAATCATTTTTAGAAATTGTATCTGCTTTGGCAATCAGTGGTATAATGTTCACCTGGTAAGAAAGAAACAAAATCTCACTATTGAGAATTTGTTGTTAACCCTGGAATTTTTACAGTCAGAAACCTCAAATATCTGACAATAAATATCTAGATAGATAATCACTGACTATCATGCTTTCCTCACAAAATTGCTTTCCAAAATATTCAGTTCTTTTGAAGATATATTTTTACGAGAGTTTAGGCTTAGAAGTCTTAATTTTTGTTGTTTCCTCAAACTTTCTATGTTTCTAACACATCAGGAGGTAGTAAACTGTAAGTAGTAAGATGATGTAATGTATTTAATTCATTAACAATTTGATTTCTTGTGTAACTGTGAAAAAGCAGAAGAAACCTTTTCTCAAAGTTATAAAACAATTTGTCCTCTACCTGTCATTCATTTGTATCACCTTCTTCATAAATTCATCTTGCTTTTGAATAGATCCTTGCTCTACCTGTATGTCTTTGCAGATAGATTTGCTTGTGGTTTCCAAAGACCACCCAAAAATAATAGATTTTTTTATTGCCATATTCTGAAGGCTAAATGTATGTGTTTATATAGCACCTTGCTAACAAATTTGTTTGTAATTTGTAAAAAGGAATTATTTCCATATACCATATTTGAGGTTGAAATGTATTCATATTTTCTTTCTAGTTCTAAAATATAATTATTCCTGTCTCCTTGTGTTTACAGCTTAATAATTGAACTTTGTAGAAAATAATAATATGCAAAATTCTAAAATGTCATATTACTGTTATAATAAGATACTTTGTTAAAGCATAACTATCCAATGTCAAGTTCTGTGATATAAGTAGAAATGTGTAAATGCCTGTTTTAAACATATTGTTTTTGTTTTAGATTCTTCAAAGTATTTTTTTAAAAATCCTTGTTCCAATCTAGGGCTTCCATGTTGTCACATAAATGTTCAAAATTTTGTCTAATTTTATAATTTTAAACAATAGCTTCCACAGTAAGGCAAACAGCTGCCAAGATAGATTCAAGTCCAACATAAATGCCTTGGGTTGTATTGTGACAAAGCTGGGAAAAGAAACCCTCCGTGATAGCAAATCGTTAACACATAAAAATTAAAACTTTCGCCTGGCTGGTGTGGCTCAATGGTTGAGCATTGACCTATGAACCAGGAGTTCATGGTTTGATTCCCAGTCAGGGCACATACCCAGGTTTCAGGCTCAATCCCCAGTGGGGTGGGGGTGGGAGGCGGGGAGTGGGGTGTGGAGGAGGTAGCAGATCAATGATTCTCTCTCATCATTGATGTTTCTAATCTCTCTCTCTCTCCATTCCCCTCTGAAATTAATAAAAATATATTTAAAAACAAAACATCAGTGGTACCAGAGAAATGTTAATGAGATCATTTTGTAATACTATAGAGCAATTTCAATTTCAAAAATATGGGCAAATGACCACAATCTGAATTATCATTAAATCACAAGAAAAACTAAACTTTTATTTTTTTAAACCTGCATCTCATTATCCTAATGCATTTTCTAATGAAATTTCTCTAGAAAGCAAGGTAAGATGGAAATTTATCAAATGCTGAATATGTCTCTTCTCCCCCATGCATATACTGAAGCCCTAACCCTCAGAATGGTCTATATTTGGAAACACAATCTTTAAATGGGCCCTAATCCTATCTTATTGGTGTCCTAATAAGTAGGGGAAACTTGGACACACAAAGAAACACCAGATGTGTGCATAACGGAAAGGCCATGTGAGAACACAGTGAGAGGGCAGCCATCTGCCACCCAAGGGGAAAGGTTTCAGGAGAAACAAAATTTGGCAACACCTTGATCTTGCACTTCTAGCCTTGAGAATTGTGAGAAAATGAATTTCTGTTAAGTCTGTGGTGTTTTGTAATGGTGTTGTTGGGACACTAATACAAATGCTTTAAAAATTAACGGACACATTTGAAATACCCTAACCAATAAAGAAATTAAAGATAAAAAAATAAAATAAAATAAAAATAAATTATAAAAAAAATAATAATTAATGGAAAAAATATGACAAAAATAGGACACATCACCAAATAAGTTCTTAGATGAGAATGGTTGAAAGATATATATTATCTCAAAATAACGATCAAATTTTGATTGGTTGATGGATTTACCAAACACACCTTACTGTCAATGGTCTTCAAGGTTAATAGATCCAGGGCCTTCAGAGAATGCCCCGTGGGTGCAATGAAGTAAAGGCACACGTGGACACGCGTGTCATGGTAGTCAGCAAAGGAACGTTTAACTTTCAGTTCTTCTTGAAAATAGGCCTCAAATTGAGCATCTATGTAGGAAACTATTGGTTGGTAGCTGAAAAAATGAGTATTTAAACATTTAGCATAACACAGTAATAACATCTGAAAGTCTACATGTTTACCATCTAGTTAATAGTTAATATGTGTACTCCATAGCTTTTCATATAAATAAAAATGTGCATACCATGTTCTTACAAAGGTAACAATCACAAACCAATAAAAGCCCATCGTTTACATCGTTTACATGTTTCTAGAAATGGCAAAATGATCTTTCAATTCAATGTCATCCCAATCGGAAGCCAATTTCTATGTGTATATAGAAGTACAAAGGACCAAGAGTGGTCAAGACATAATAAAGAAAACCAAGGAGATATAATCTTCATATGCCAGGTCTCATTATGAAGCTGCAATAATACAGTATGGCAGCAGCACAAGAATAGATAGACTAAAGCACAAGAGGATTTTTTAATGTGATAGAACATTTCTATGTCACAGCTGTGATGATGCAACTCTATGCAACTTAAAAATCTACCCTTGAAATCTGTATGGTTTTATTAACCAAGGTCACCCAAATAAATTAAATTTTAAAGAACCCCACAGAAATATACACCATAAAAGTAAGTTTCACTGTATGTAAAATTTCAGAAGAGTGACATCCTAATCATGGCAATGAATACTTTTGGGCTTTTTAACAACTAAAAACCTGATCTATCCACTAACAAAGGTACCTCTGTGAGAACTGTGGGACCCGCACCATATGCCAGGGAACCAGGGGGAGTTTTGCCCAACTGCACCTCCCTACGAGCTCTGAAACCAGCAAAAGCCAGCAAACCTGCCCGGACCCCACTTTCCAGCAGTCAGGGGAAAACTGGAGAGTGTTTACGTGCGCATACACCCACAGGTGAAAGGTATTTGTACAAGTTCAGCAATCAAGATGGGATATTCCATTGGAGCACACAAAAAGAATACATTTGGCCCTAGCCTAGCCAGTTTGGCTCAGTGGATAGAGTGTTGGCCTGCGGACTGAAAGGTCCTGGGTTCGATTCTGGTCAAGAGCACATGCCTGGGTTGCGGGCTTGTCCCAGTAGGGTGCGTGCAGGAGGCAGCTAATCAATGATTCTCTCTCATCATTGATGTTTCTATCTCTCTTTCACTCTCCTTTCCTCTCCGAAATCAATAAAAGAAATACTAAAAAAAGAGAGAGAGAATACATTTGGATGCATTGGAGAAGGTAAGAGGAACTTTGCCAATGTCAGCCTTCCCTCAAAGCAGCACAACCTGGGGCTGAAATAGCTGATAGCAATCTCTCCCGGGGCAAAGGGAGTAAGTGCCCAACAACCTTAGAGAAATACCCTTTTCCTCCCAGCAGCACCCAGGATACTGAGGCAGGAACTCCATAAAGGAGGGAGGGAGGAGATTGGGAAAGAAGCAGATAAAAACATCAAAGGGCATGAAGTGCATTAAAGGGTCATGGTCCGCTCTGACTAGGCTCAG